GGGGGTGTTGTGCTTGCCCTGCTGGCTTTTCTTCCTTCTGTCATTTTTTTCTTTTTTTACCCAAAATAAGGAGGGGGTCCCTGGCCCCCTCTGAGCCCATCCCCTAGATCCACTACTGGTATCCCATCCATACTGTAGAAACTTGGATATAGGCTCTAAAGGTGTCGACTGCTTTGTACTGAGTGCAGACTATATGATGTACAATGTTGATACCGTATATGTAAGTGTTTATAGATTTGCAGTACTGTAGATATCCTAATTATATAATTATATACATGGCCTCAAAACTTGTTAATTCCACTTCGCTTGTACAAGCTTAGTACAAATTCTAAAATTCTAACTTATAGCGATCACCTAGGCATGGCACTTTAAGGAAATAAAGGTACATTTGGCTCAACCAGTCGTCCTTTCCTTTCAGAAACCTTATGTCTGTAAAGTGCCTGGCTGCCCAAAAAGGTATACAGATCCTAGCTCACTGAGAAAGCACACCAAAACAGTTCATGGGGAACAAGGAATCAAGAGGGTAAGTTAGGAATACATAGCTGTCAGTACCTTTTACAAGGGCTTTTAGGAATGATACAATTTTCCCCAGTCAGTCAAACTGTAGACATCCTGTTTTGCATTTCCAAATGCCTAATTATCTTCAGAGTTTTGGTGTCCTGTGAGAACTTATCAGCCTTGTTAACTGTACTATTAGTAAAGTCACCATTATAAAACTTAGCAATTATAAAAAAACCTACAACAGAATGTCTTCACAACTTCCTTTCCAGTAAGAATAAGCCTTACATAAAAAGCCTGTTAAAGCTCACTCACCCAGGCCTTATGTACTTACAAGAGTTTATTGTATCACTAAAAAAGAAAGCTTTTAAGCACCTATAGTACAGGCCAAAGGGATTGCAGCATTACAGTGTGTGTACTACATGCATATTATGCACAGTGACCATGCACTTAACATGCAGCAAACACGCAAATTAATACACAGCAATGCGTGTAACTGATTAAATGAACTAGTGGACTTGATATTGCATGTAAAATGTGCAGTCACTTAACTGGAAATTATTAAGTGTGTGTAATGAAAACAATTCATTTACCATACTGGACTTCATTGCGACACCTTCATTGCCTTCTTGCTTTCTGTCATTAAACATATTCCAATAGGATCGACTAAGTTTTCTTGAACCGGCTTACAGGTTTAAGGTAACAAGTTAGTATTGGCTTTTTGTTTTGCAAAAATACATGCAAATGTGTGTATGAATAAAAAAGGATTTCCTCTTCCAATTTAAGTACACCCAAGTATTAGACGCATGAAATTACACAAATGCGTGTAATTACAAGCATAGTAACTATTTCACACATGTAATTACACGCACCTTACACACATTTTATGCATATACTTCACGCATTTTACACACATTTTAATTGCCTGAAGGTGCTGCAATCCCTTTGGCCTGTATTTTACTGCTACATTTCTCTTTTTGAAAACTCACTTCAGAGCAGTTTACCAAATTGATTTAAATTATTAAATTAATTCACTCTTATTACCTCAATATAAAGAGTAATGTACCATTTTGTTTATAACAGCTGAAAGCAGAAGGAGGCAGAGAGAAACCGCCATCAAACCCAGATAAAAACGAAAGCGCAGCTCCTGAGAAAGGCCAAGGAAACCAAATGTCTTCCAGTACCTCACAAGCTGCAGAGCCAGCAGGCAACCATGTTGCAGAACCTTTATCACCAGGAATGGAGGGATCAAGCAGTGCTAGCAGTGTGGTCCAAGGTGGAAGTTGTTCTCAAACATTTGTAGGTAGCAGTTTTGAGGGCGATGCAGTTTCTTCAAGCTGTGACAGGACCCCAGGTGTGCTTAATATTCCATCCAGCCAAGACAGTCCAAGAAGTGTGGGACAGTCCACATTGGGCATATCTCCAAGGAGTCCCCAATTTGTAAGCCATCTTCCAGATATTTTGGAAGGAGACTGGGAGCCTGCAGAAAATGGTGCTGTGACGGTAGCACAATCTGTTGAAGCCAGACCTCAATCCCAGAGCTTCAACCTTCCAAAGATTGATGTCCACAAGAGAGATGTAGAAGATTGGGTGAATGATGTTTCCAGGCGAATGAGCCAAACATCACGCAGATCAAGTGAAGGCAGCCATTTATCTGTGGACCTTGCTGGTAACGCAAGTAGAAGATCTAGCCAAGAAAGTGGTTGGTCTTCTTATGGAAGTCGTCGATCCAGTCAGGCTAGCCCCTTTCCAACCACAAATATTCAACCTCAAGAGGTTATACCCCATTTCCCCAATGGCTACAGTGTTCCTCCAATACCAAAAGGGATGACCCCTCCACATCGTAGACCACATTTACACCCACTTGATGGAAATGATGATACTCTCCGTCGTACCAGTGAGACAAGCACTTGCAGCAACCAGAGTGCACCTCACAACAGATTGAGCCGTAATAGCAGCGGTTATGGAAGTCAGTCAAACTTGGCAGTCATACGAAGCCCCATGTTCCACAAGATCCCACCTTCATCACACTTGCTACCTCAGAGAATTACCAGTACATGTGCCGATGCCACTAACAGAAGGAAAAGTGACACAGTAATTTGTGAGGCAGATAGTTCTGGAAACTACCTTCCAAAAAATGGCAAGGGTGAGCAGCGTCGTAGTAGTGAACCCATCAGACAAGCAAGAGTACCTGTTGCTAGGCTTGAGCCCCAAAGTGTGCCAGTTAATAGACAAGCAACATCTATGGCAAATGTGAATGAAACAGAACTGATTTGTGGTGAGTTAGATCCAAAAGAGTTTGATGCATACTTAAATCCACAAGAGGAAAAGAATCTCGAGTCAACTCCCCGTATGCACCCTCCACCTGGGAGTCAAGACATGAGGCAAACACGAAGATTGTGTCACTATCCATATCCTGAGGAAGAGCAGACAGCTCAGCAGTCGCAGCATGAACAGCAACCTAGTTTACAGACTGTGCATCACCGACCTCAATCACTCTTCCCATCACCACCCAACCCTACAATCCAACAAGATCCACAGTCTTGTGACTTGAGAAAGCCTCAAGAAGGGAACTGGCCTCCACCAAGGTACAGAACTGGTCAGCAATTTAGTACAACTGAAGTCTATAATGGTTTCTACCCACCATCAGAAAATGTAACTTACGATACTGCAATGCAGACCTCTAGCCAGAGGAGCCAGTTTGACATGGGAAATTATGAGGATCTGATGGTGTCAGGTATTGGTTCACTATCCACTGAAAATGGTGGTGTATCAGACTTTGTTGGGAATGGCAACATGGTTGTTAACGACATGAACACTCTGTTGAATTCTCTTCGTGAAGAAGAAAGATACCTTGAGATGTGTCAAAATTCAAGAGGTCAAGCAGCTGGAAGTGCTATGTCCATCTTTTAAATCCAGTCTTCTGGTTTTTCAGTCGATGACCTATACTCAGCTAGAAACAAATTTATGTAGAGGTGGGTAGGTAGAGTAGAATGATTTGCCAATCTACCAAAACAATTACCAGAATCATCTGGTGCATCTTCTCATGAATTGGAGTGTAACTTAACTAGGGGCACACATTATCAAAGACCTTGGGCAAGCAGTACATGTTGGTATGCTACTATTGAATAATAATTACAGGAGCAATGTCACAATTAATTTTATACAATTGTTTCCCTGACATATCTATGTCAATGAAGATGATTGTGACAGTTTATGAACGACAAACAATCTGTGCTCATTGTTTCAGAATAACTCTTTTTGCTGAATTCTAGTGCAGAGTCCTTCAAATCATCCAGCCAGCATGACACTATCATCATGGTCCAATTAATATTGATTAATTTTTTTAGCAATATCACATAATTATTAATTACAGGATTGTAATATTGTAGTGAAATTAGTACACCGCATGAGGGTGCCATCCACTTGGGAGCCTCTAAGAAGGAGAGAGAATAATAATAATGATAATGATAATAATGAGGACATGAGAATAACAATAATGACAATGATAAGAATGAGAATCAAGAATGCTTTATTAATGTAGATGACTTTGGATATACAGTTGAACTTCACTATCTCAGACTTGGGTATCTTGAATTATCCCCTAAAATTCAAATCATTCTCTCTTAACTTGCATATACCTTTTCAGTAATTTATTATTGGCTGTCCCAAACCACCCACCATCTTAAACTGTTTTTTCCTTAGGGAGTTTGAGATTTGGGGGTTCAACTGCACAACTTAATCAGGCATGGTAATCATAACTGGGAAAAAAAATCACTTTTTATCAAAAATAACAATTTACCATGAAAAAGTTACTCCTGACCATTTTTGTTTTGGTTACCGCTAAATAAATCTTGCAGTTAATATAGAATAATATTTTGTTTTTCAAAGAACACATTTGAAATCACCCAGAGTCAATCACAGGCTAGCACTAGCTACCAAAACAGGTAACAAAACTTGTTTTTGACGTAAGGTAATTCAACTGCCTTGAAAGACTTGTTATTAACAGCAAATAAACCTTCAGGTAGAGCAAGTATGCCTGTGCTGTCGGTGTTAAATATTTACCACAATTTTATCAGCATGCAAATGTAAAGAAGTCCCGAAGATGCCACTGAACAATTCGTATTAGATATTTTATAGTGTATAACAGACATGCAACAAGAACATGTTACTATGGCTTTTAGTAATACGCTAACGCTGCTCTAGCTATCAACCTTACCTTACCTAACCGTTTTGTGTTTTACTGCTGCCAGTCATGTTAACAGAGCACTCAGGAAGCAAAAATTTACTTCAACCAGTTCAAATGGTCACATCTGCAGGTTTTGATTGGTAAATTTCAATACATGTTGTTTCCTTTTTTTCAAAGTTCACCGGTTGCCATCAAAATCATGATTGGCAGCAGCCAAAAACACAATCATTAATTAGGTTTTGTACTTTAGAGTTTGTGTGAAAGGCGCAATAGTAAGCATTGCGGTACGTATTATTTTATTTTTATACATGTAAAACACAATGTTTTGTTTCCCACTTTTTTCAGTGTGTTAATTTGTGCAATACCGTATCCTCTTTCCCCCAGCCCTAGCTCTCAATAAAATTCCAATATGCCTTTCTTACCCTTGGGTGGGGTTCAGTGGCCTTTTTCTTTTCTTTCTCCCAAACTGTCTGGAGTTGGATCTTTTGGGTGTTGCATGTTCTTTTGCATGCAACAATCTGTGGCACAATGTGTCATGAAAAAATATGCCACATGTAGTCTTCAGCTGAATGAAGGCTCAAACTTGACTTGCTACTCAGTCATGGATGAATTTACTGGCTAGATCATCAATAAATACAGATAATATTTTTTATGTAAATGAAAGAAAATATGAGAACAAAAAAAGAACATTGCAATCAAATAAGTTGTTAAAGGCAGCTGTGGGGCTAACAAATGCTGATGTTTCATGAAAAATACCATAACCGTATGGTCAACAAAGTATACATTCGATAAAACTTCAGGAGACATATGTAAATTTCAGTACTTTATTTGCACACTTTTTAAAGAAACCTCTGAAACCCTTCATTGTAGCCTGAATACGTTTATTAACAATAAGTTATGACTCCCTTGAGCATGCATACTTCATTAAAAACAGAGTTCACTTCATGGCTTCAAGAGATATGAATGTAAGGTTGATGCTAGTGTTACAGATACATTATATTACATACTCTCACTTGAGAGATAGCAACCCAGGACATTCGGGTTTTAAAGCAGTTTAGCATAGCTTGGTGGAGTCCAGAGTACTTTACTTGTCCACAGTTGTGGAAGTTTTCCATTGTCAGACAAAGTTCACTATTGCACTACTAACACCTTTACACTGTGAAAGCACAGTATGAATTACTGTCAATATGTTGTATTCTGTTCCCTCTGTGCCTGTGTGTGTGATCCAGAGATGGACAGAGAAGATCAAGTAGTAACTGGTCCACATGATAAATGACAGTCGCCTNACATGAAAAACAGTATAAGTTTTTTTAAGATGCCATGAAATCGGAAGATTTAAGGACGTTTCCTTGTCACATTACCCTTCCAAATGCCTGAGAGCCTTTTAGGTGACAAAACGTCAGTTACAGAAAAAGTTTTGTCACTTCATGAGAGACGTAAGTTTACCTCTTTGAATCGCACAAGGAATCTGTTTCAAAACAAACGAACCACTAATTTGTCACCTCAAACTGAAAGTCTACTCTAATTAATTTGCAGTTTAACTTGCCGCCATGAAGTCCTCAGGAATATTTGAAGAGTTTACCTGCCACAAATCTCTCTTAAAAATTCCTGTTTTAAAGAATTGCCATTACCGCAAGATATTAAAATACTAACAAAAAGAGACGTCCAAAAATTTATAGCAAGTAAAAGTTTCTGGACATGCCGCTAAATTGGCTTCTTGTTTGTTTATTCTGACTGTGTGAACAAGAGTCACTGATTCATCAATTTTAATTGTAACCACTCATACGTGAAAAACAGAAGTGTCAAGTTACCGTTTGAGACTAACAAATAAAAATATCTTGTTACATTCACCTGCAACAAAAACTACTTCAACCTCAAGGTAACGTTTTCACTTGTTTCAGTGATTTCTATTCGTATTTCCACAGTAGAAATCCATATTTGAAAACACCTTTTCTCAACAAAAATATATGTTGCATCATAATTTCAATTCCCCTGATCATAATCCTGCGTGAAACAACACGAATTGATACTAGTTTCTCCAACATCTTGCCCAGGCGTGTTTAGCTAACGTCAACAAGTATCGGCTCATCCAAACTAACAAGTTGCAATTAGATTGGTTGTTCACAGAAGCTTCAATCTGTTTGGTCTGAGACATATACATCAGTCCACCCAAAAACCAAAAACTATTAAATACAAACACCTGACATGCCAACTATAAGGTAATTTTACAAAAAAAAAAAACAAAACAAAACAAAAAAACTCAATAATTAGCACAGTTGGTATGACAGTTTGACCTTACATCACACATTTACATGAGCATGTAACTTACCTGTGAAGACTGATGGCTGGTTTCGAAGCCAAGGAGTGTTTCTTCGAAAACCAAATGAACCATTGAATCCATTGAGAGGATGGATGTTCTCCATGAACAAGCCATGACCACCAACCTGACTTGTGGAATGTCCTAAAATGGGAAAAAAAAATAAAAATGCAATAATATACAGGTAATAACCTGACTGTGTGGTGAAAAAATACAAGACAAAAATTTGGGTGTTCGTCAGACCCCTCAACCCCTCAGAGAGAATTTCCAAGAGGGTGGCGGGGGGGGGGGGAGGGGTTGAGGGTATGGATATTTTCTGGAACCGTGAATTTGCAAATTTGGAAGACAGTGATTTTTATTAAATTGACCGCTTTCCAAGTCACTAACCTGCACCTGCACTGTTGCGAAGCTTGATGTAAGTACCCATCATTCCTTTGTCGTAAAATTTGTCCATTTGCTTCCCAGTTATTGAATCGCCTGGTGGGATCTAAAAAATATTTATTTTGTTTTTGTGTGCCTACTAACGACAGTGCAATTAGTACACTGTAAAAGCTATGTTATAATTCTACAATTAAGTACTAATGTAAAGTACTTAGTGTAAGAAAATATCTTTAAGGATTTACAAATACAACCTGGGGAAGATAGAGGATTTTAGAGAAGGGGTTAAAGCTATCGACCCCTATAGGGAGGTTCGGGGAGCTTCCTTCCCTGGAACATTTTTCAAATTGACGTCCTCGGAAACGGTATTTCCGGCGGCATTGCGACCGAAGCCCCAGAACTCCTCTCAAGTTCCGCCCCAGACAACTACATTGTACATTTTGGTGCCTTCATGACACGATTGTCATGGCACTGTACCACTGTACCACCCCCTGAGACAGAAGAGAGCCAAGAGTATCTGACTAAAAACACTACTAAAAGTAAACGCCGGCCGGGGAGCTCGAGATTCGTGATGGCGTGGTTACTGTATATAAGCTTAAGCTTATATCTAAAGGAAGAAAGAGAACTGCAATTCGAAGAAATTAACAATGATTTACTTATAGTCCTTATAGTCATGATTGGCGAAATTTTTCTCGTGTTTCCGCACATATAAGCTTACAATGTTATGAAGCGCTGCAGAGATCAGCTGATGTTTGCCTAAACATTATAAACAATCCCCGCGTACATGTGCAACACATTTCCAACAAATCAATTCAAAATTACAGTCTACCCCTTATTCGTACCTGCTCTGTCTTTTTCAGAAGTTTCTTGACGACGGGTTTCTCAAAATACCCTTTCGAATGTTTGTCCTTTTGACCATTGTACGGTGGAATGGCGGTCGCCATCTTCGGGTTTGCGCGGCCTGAGTCGTCCGAAAGAGTGCTAACTGCTACGGCATCGAGTACGAATCCTTTCTCTGCCTTAAGCTTGTCTTCTTGAGACAAAGGCAGTGGGCCATATTTAGCAAATCGTGCAAGTTTATACTGCTGTTGAGACATCTTGAAGTTTACCGCCAAAGTGATCCGTTTCTTCCTGCAAGGTAACCAAGAGAGACGATTCTGGTTGTCAAGGTAAATCACGTGACTCACTAGTACATGAATGTAAACAAGTGCAAGAAAGAATGGGAATCGAAATGAGCAATGAAAGTCTTTAGCGACTTTTTATACCACCGTTTAATTAACCTGTTTTTTTCTTTCTTTCTTTCTTTCTTGTTTACTATAATCAGGCTTGTTTGCAAAATGCTTCAGCTGCCTCAAAACTTATGAAAGCAGACGAATTTTCGGGTTCTTGATTTTTCTTCTCGATCTCTCCTTCATGCAGTTCTCTCACCTTTTCTTACGATCCATTTGCACTAAAATAAACACGAACAAGAAAAGGAAACAAAAAAGGTTGTGCTAATGCTGCTGCATTTTCGAAAGAAAATTACCCCGAGATGTCTGCATCTGTTCCGTCTTTATCTAGATTCCCACTTTGACTCGCTGACTTGTCTCCGCCTAGAAACACGTCTATTACGTTGGGGTCCTCGCCACCAGTATCATCCGACATTTTATTCTTAAGTCACTGTACAATGAATCCACATATGAATCCACCCATTACCGCGGTTAGATAATGGAGTTGAAATAGTTCTGTGACATCACTATGTAATTAATTCTAATGACGGCGGTCACCACTTGGCGCGTCCTCTATTTCAATGAACACCCCCCGCCCTCCTCAAAAGAACGACTACGTGAATTAGAGGTATTTGAATTGTTTCAGGACCCCATATGTTTACCGTGTGATAGGCAATCACCCTTTCGCGAAATCGAATAAGCCTAGATTTGAGCCTTTGACTCGGGTCCGCGCAGTCGAACTGCGAAAGCCGAGCTCGGCGTGACAAGAAAAAATGTCCTCTACTAAAAACCCAAGTGTGACTGTGCGAAGATTTCGAGGAAGCTAAGAGGAGAAGGACTTTGAGAAAGTATACACAATAAGTCAATATGGGCTGCAAGACGTAACATGTCGTTCTTGACCGTCACGGGAAGACTGCAGGCGGTTGGGCCCTTAGTTGATCCCCAGGCTCTCTCAAGCCCTATAAAGGCCAATTATAAAGGCCACCCTGGGCTGGCGCAGAATCATAATTAGAGAGATGCCTACATATTTTACCGACGTAGAAGGAATCACAGTCCCAACAACTAACTTTAATTTGTATACTAGCAGATACTAGTTTAGATCTTTGAGAGCGACTGAGCATCTTTGTATGGAAGACCAAGTCCTGCAGTACTAAGCTAATGAACTTGCAATGAATGAACTATGAATAAAATTGAAGAAAAAAAATGAGACTAAAAATATTTAAAATATCCTTTAAATATCCAGGAATATTTAAAATGCAATGACGGTTTAATACAGTAGCGCGGTCAGAAGGACTAAAACCAGTGCGCACTAAATATGCGAAGGAACTGGAACACAATAAGTATCCGCCATATTAAATTTCCACCATTTTAGTGTGAAGAGTTGAGAATATGTTTCCTTTAGTAAGGGGAATCTCGAGTAACTTTCGCCAGTTCGGCCTTGCTTACACTTTAATGGCTGTGCGAATGTACAAGGTACGAGTTGCTCTGAAGCTTATGTGTCCCGGTTGCCGGTTTGTGAAAAGGAAAGGAGTCCTTCGAGTCATTTGTAAGTTGAACAACACTCACAAACAGAAGCAATTCAAAAAGGCTAAGATTGGGTATTGATTCAAGATTGATTCAAGATTTTGACCGCACGCCTGAAAATCATAGAAGTTTACTTCTGCACTGGAGTCTGGATAAAAGGATTTAAAATTTCACTTCGTGGAGATTCTGGGATGCAAGTAGCACTTCAGAGCAATAAAGTCAATCCCACTGAGTCAATGATGATGAGTGTGGCCAGAACCACTGGACCCATTGGTGAGAATGATCAAAGGAATATTTTTACCATTATCTCTGCAAGACTGAAGCCAAGATATTTAATCCATTTCACCTCCTAACAGTTGGATGATCAGTTCCGTCTGAAATGTACGTTCATACATTTATAATATTGATTTGGCCAGCTACATACAAGCTTATATTACCTTACGGTTGTATGACTTGATCTCACAAGTACTACAAACAAATTGTGATCTGTAAAAAAAGTTAAGTGACCATATCATGTGGATGGCTTTGGCTCATAACAGCAATGTTAACCTTTTTGTGTTTCAAGAGTGATGAATGTCTAATTTTTTTAGTTGCACTATGTTTTCATCTCACGACAGCGAGGGATGGAGAGACTTCCCTAAGGGCCTAATTCCCCCCCCCCCACCCCCATGGGGTGAAAGGTTTTAAGAAGAAGAAGAAGATGTGTTCATCTCATGCTGAAATTTCAAAATCCCGTGGCAAAGTGGGCCTGCTGCACACCATCCTACATGTACTTAACTGCTATACTGCTATATGCTAAAGGCTATCATTGTATGCCAGTGAGCTGGATCCTTATGAAACCTGAGCAAAAGATCTTCAGTGTAGACAAGGTAGAATTAACCTGTAGATCAGTTTTTTTCTTGTGTGATGTATAAGCACGAGGCATGAGATCAAGGGCAGAGTGCAAGAAAATAGTAACAGACTAAACATTCTGTAGACACTATCGTTTATGTTCTAACTTCTTCCAGCTGTTTGTTTGCCAAGTGTCGGCTGGTACAGTTGCCCTAAACATAAGTTATGAAGGGCTTTTGATAATGGTCTTATTGATAATGAAGAAAAAGAAGCTTCTTCCAAGAAACATACTCAATTTAAGACTCGAGTCAGCTAAAACCATACCCTATTAAAGACTGAAATGGCCAAAATTGAGACCCTATTTATGACCAAAATGGCTGAAAAACCATACCCTTTGGGGCTGCACATACCTATAAAGCCCGTATAAGGGANAGAATAGGGTATCATTTTTCACAAAACTGACTAGTTGGTTGAAGATTTTATCTAGACCAAGGAAACCAGAAATTGCCACTCAAAAATATATAAAAAAAATCAAACCGGCAAGCTTAAATTTACGCAAATCAGCCTCAACACTGTCGATAGATTGGGGGGATTTGGGGAGTTTACTCTAGTATAGGGTAGCAAAATTCAGCTGAACTAGCTCTGGTATAGACTAGGGGTTCCAGGGTCCTAGCGGCACATCCCCACCCAGAAATTCTCAAAGTACCCCCCCCGGTAATTCTGAACAGTAGAAAAAATGTCAAAGGAACTGATTTTTTGTTTGGCGGGACCAAAATGGTTATTGCTTGCGTTCTAGCTTGTAGCTCAGTACAGGTGTAATATTTTCTTCGCGTTAACCACCGCGCCCAGATAGAAGTCAAACTTAAAATAGTCAACGACTTTTTCAGTTTTCATTACCTTTGAATTTTGTTAAAAAACAAAAACAACTCTTGAAATGTAGAATAAGAGGGGATTAATAAAATCAAGAAAAACCTAGAATCAAGTACTAAGCCTCTTGGTATTGTAGTCATATTCAGCTTTGTTGTTGTTTTTTCTTCCGATCAGGTCCGTTACCGAGCCCGCAGAAGTTACCTCATAGCGGACTTAGTCCTCAATCTACGTTTTCATGGGATCGAGGCAGTCCAGACCGGCCCAGCAGTAGCCCTAGTCTTACTGACAATCGAAAGTTCTCTGCTCAGCAGGTTGCATCGCAAAGTTCTCCGCGAAGTAACACCCGGTTTTCAAGGCACATGGCGAGATCTGCACCTGACATACAAATTTTATCACTAGACGACCCTAACTAAAACAGTGATAATAAGATTTTCGTTTCTTTGTTAAGTCTAGGGTGACTGAATTTATTTTTTACACTCGCTGCCCAAAAATTTATTTTTACGACTTTTGAACTGATTGTAGAAGTTTCAGCATTGTTTCTTTGCTAAGTATAAAGCTTTCGCTACACAAAAATAAGGCCCGTTGGTCAACATTTTAAATAAAAAATAAAACTATTATTTGTTCTACGAGAACAGTGGGAAACGCAACGCTACGTTTTTCGTCACGCAAAAGCGCTGTCTTCTAATAGTGTAGCGTAGCGTTGTGTGACTAAGATAAAGCCCGAACTGGATTAAGACTAGTTGCAATTTAAATTGTTGTTCCAGGCAAAACACGGCTTAAGATAGATAAAGATAAGTGCTTAAGAATTAACATTCAATCATGAGTTGAGTCACGCAACGATATTGATCGTTACAAGAGAGTTCGTTGCTACAGCGGGTAGGTAACTCGTTAAGTTATCTATTGAGTGTCACACCTGTTGTGTAAGTTAAAATTGTTGCATAAATTTTAAAAGCGTAAAAATTTAAAATATACATATATTTATTAGAGAATGAAATGCTCCGTTTTGAGTACCTTTGCAGTATAGCAAATTGCCCTATGGCCAAAACATTTTCGGAAGAAATTGCCGAGTATTCCCAGCTTGGAAACAAAAAATCTGTTGTGCTTGAAGAGCATCGTTCTTTTAAATGCTTGGACGCAAATTTGTGTTGTAAAATGACTTATTAAGTATTAGCTCTTTGTTATATGAGCTGTGTGAATTTTTAAAACACTAAATTAAAGTGTTATCTGTGTTATTTGTTGTTGTTGTTGTTTCATGGCAATAAAATTGCATGATGTCAACCTTGTCTGACTGTTCGATTCTAACTTCTGGTGAGCGCCATTCCCAGCCTGCGAGCAGAGCCTCTTTTATCTCCTTTTGCTTTATTTCTTTTTACACGGAAAAAGAGGGGAGTGCGCCATTCCTCGATCCCCATAAGGAGGAACTTAACGTAAAAAATAAAACAGAGGGAATTGTTTGATATCCAGGACTTCTTGGAAATGTCAGGGAAACTCGAAGAAGAGCGACAACGGTGACGAGGCTGCCTTATAAGTTCCATTCTTTCCCGTTACGAAGCAAGTCGGAAAAAATTAATCTCGGGTAGGAAAGTATGGGGTATGTTCATGGGCATGTTCTTAAAAATCAGCAATTACTCTAAGCTCAAAAATTAAAATTTGACAAGTTTTTTGAGTAGGCAAACGGTTCCTGTGACTCATCACGCAATCTTTGGCGAGAAAATTTTAGGTTGCGTCACGAGCTAGTTTACAACAACCTCGTTCCCAAGTTGAGTAGCTTGAACCCAGCCTTTCTCGAAGTCTCCTTGCAAGAGTTTGACCAAAGTAAACAATTCAGCATTGGAAGCTTGCAGTTTCTACATTCAGGTAGAAATAATCATCTTGCACGATGTTTAACGTGTTTTTGTACGTGACTGGTGCCTTAATCGTGCTATCGCTAGTTCTTCTACTTGGTTTTGCGGTGTATTTGACGAACGTAAGACGTAAATTTGCCCACATCCCAAGTCCGCCGATGGCCAGGTACACATACGGGCTAAATGTTTACATTATACGTTCCGCTTGATATCTGAGTTTTTTTTTAATAATATAGCTGTTGATTGGCTTCTTTTCTATGGTGATAGAGAAAGAGGGATTTCTTTTAACGGTAGTGTTTCTTTAGGGTAATGATCATTCGTTCCATACGAAGCTGTTTGCAAATTATAGAAAAAACTACCTCGTAGAATTAAGACCCGTAAAGCTACGGGCCTGGGCGTGGTTCCAACAGGGGAAGGTGCATTTGTTCACAACGAATTTCGCGATAACAGAATGGGAGATGCGGAAGGCATTCATATCAGAGGAATGAGGGGTGGTGAAGGGATGTGCCCTCGCTATACTATTTTCATCATATTGTAAGTTATCATTTACCCCTGTGCAATGGGTCATCTTTATAGAGGGTTGAACATTACATAGGCTACTTCAATATCCCACCTCTATTTTTGGCTGAATTCCACCACGCCTGGCCCACCCCACACACACTGTTTATCTGGATCTTGCTTGCTTAGAATTTCAGTTCCCCACGTTTTAATGTTTTAATTTTCTGTTTTTCATTCCGCATCCCATGCCCCACTGTCTGAATAAGCAAATTCTGCACCTGCCAAAGTATTTTATCCTGCAAACCACCATTAGAATTTCTGTCATCCAACATCCTACCTCCATTTTCTCTTTCATACCACATCCTGCCAAAGCTTGTTGGACCCTCTTTACAGAGTGTTTTATGTTAAATGTTCATAGTTGTAGTTTTACAGAAGTACTGTCAGCTAGTAGCAAATCAGAGAGGATTTTGATGGAAGTGTCTGTGGATGCATGTATGTAAATTTGTGCCAATTACACTGACAAAACAAAACCCAGTCAGGCCTTAGCTCCCATGATCCCCATGTAGCTCAGAAGTAGTCCTCAACTAGTGCAGCCTTGTTACCAGTGTCTCTCACTGTACGGGGTGAGGAGGAGAGAGACTCTGGGTATGAGGTTCGTATTACTGGTGTTTTTAAAAATGGTGGCAAGGGTATAAAAATGCCTAAAGCTGGTCATGAACACAGAATGTAGAATATTAAAATGTAGAATACTAAAATACTAAAATGCTCTGCTGAATGCAGAGCACCAGTATCAGATCCCTGTAATAACTTTAATCCTTAGCTAACACTTACATTTAATTTAGCCTTTAAAGGCAAACCAACCCAGGTTACCTATGATATGGTTACCCTTGTGAACTAAATTCCCAGTGAACTTGGAATTCCTAGGAATTCTAAAAATTTCCAAGACATGCAAATTAGAGGAAATGCACAACCTTGGAATTTTGCGGAATATCTGGGAATTGCAAAAATGCTACGTAGAATTACTGGGAATTTCTAGGAATTGTTGGGAATTTTAGAGAATTTCTGAGAATGCTCAATCTGAAGGCTTCTGAGCTTGAAGACAGGACTTGGAATTCTTGGGAATGTTTGAGAATCAGAATTTTATATTACTGACAGAGTTAGGGTCAGTGATTAAGGTATGTTTGTGGGCTGGATAATGGTTCATGTTGGGCATTTTGACATTCAGCATTCAGCATTTTGCATAACAAATGTTGAGGGTGCAGTCATTTTCTTGGCTTTGTTCTTTCAGGTTAATTGCAGCTTTATTTTGCAAGTAGTTTGCCCTGAGTTTATGTTACTAATTATCTTTCTGAAGTTTCAGTTAAATTTTTATGTCTGACAAGCTCAGAATGGTGTGTTGTTCACGCATGATTCATGCATACTGACTAATTAATTATGAGTTCTTGTTTGTAAGTTTTTTCAAGGGTCATGCAGATGAGATAACTGCAATGCGTCATACAGGATTTCCTACTGATCAAAAGTTTTTGGAATGGTAAACTGATTCATTTCTATTTCATTTATCAATTAGGTCAGATTTTTAATTTGTGTTTGCTTGAGTCAGGACCTCGATTATTGTGTGTGGTACTTAAGCCAAGATTCCATGTGGGCTGTTAGTAATAACTTAATGTTCCTGATAATTACATTGAGATTTTTCAATCTCTACAGGGCAATATGAAACACATATCAAACATGAAAGATCATGTTTGATTACATTTCCAAACACCAAAAAGAGAGATGAAAATATGGCATGTAGCAAAGTATTTTTGACAAACTTTGAGGTGTTTTGAAATGTGGTCCAACACAGTCTTTGGTATCAAAATAATAAAAGTAAATTGATTTGATATATGTAGTCTCAATCAAAACTATAAAACTAGAAAGAGAAAATGGAGTCATGTGAGCAAGAGCTTTACTTAATTTGGCTTTTAAAAATCTCAGGAGTGTTTCTTAATATCAAAAGATGAAAAGTGCACTAAAGTTTAATTATATAAACCATCACTTTCTTTCCCAGGCATATTGAATATGGTAAGATCCTTGTTGTCTGGTTCTGGCACGTACCTGTTCTGCTGGTTGCTGATTCAGAGATGGTTAAGGTTTGAAACACTCATTTTAATTTTCTTAGTTCATGTTAATTACGATCATTGTTTTAAAAAGCATCTTTTTATCGGTTCAGGTGACTCTTAACCCTCAGAAGTCCAACAAATACATACCATCACAATGTACAAGATCTTGGGGAGGGAGGGGTGTATTGAGTGCACGGCCCCCTTAAGCTTGGTTTTTCACACAAGGGATAAATGAACAGCTAAGTACTGAAATTGTCAGTCTGACACATGGTGGACCCTCTTTACACAAATCGGAAAACAACTTCTGTGGGAGAGAAGGTGGCATATCCACTGTGCCCCTTCAGTTGAGCACCTAGAGTTTGATATTGAACACTTCCATGCTGTGCCCCTTTAAAGGTCTTTGTCAATGAACAAAGGCGTCATCATCATCATCATCATCATCATCATCATCATCTTCATGGTCATTGTCATCGTCATCATCACCATTGTATGGCTGACCCCTGATCGGCTGTTGGTACATTTACTTACTCATCCCTGCTGTTCCATCCAAAATATACTTTTCTTTTTCCTGTCCATAATCTTCTTTGCCTGGTCTAATTAGTCATCTTAATTTTGTTGTCTTCTGCTTTTCTCCTTCTTCAGTCTCTAGCATATACTTTACCTGTATTCTTGTTAATGGCAGATCGCCAACAAACTCAATCATGATTAATCCTTTAACTAGCTTCCTGTTTGTAAACAATAATAATTTTGTTTTCTTTTTAAGGACATCTACATAGTCAAGAATCTGCCAAAAGAAGAGGTGTCTTATGAAGTGCTGGCCCGTCTCTTTGGGCAGAGGTATATTATTTTAAAACGTTCTGCTTTGCAGGGCCATTAACCCATTGCCACCTGGAGCTTTTTGGCAAAAATGCATTTTGTGGACATTTTCAGCCTGGATATGAGCCATCTCCAATCTAGGCATTTGCAACATGACACGTGACCAGCCGCAACCAGTATCTTTCTCCCAGCGAACAAGGGAGGCAGAGGAGAGAGAGCCTGGGAATGGGGTTGTCAAAGGTGATGATCACAGGCCAATGCTTGTCACAGCTGGTTACGGCCGGCACAGGTGTCAATGGGTTAATTTCATTAGCTGAGGTAACATGTTACTGAGTGTAATATAATATTAGTACTACATAATTCAAGCACACTTCTAATACATTGAAGGTTTCATAAATTTTGTCTGTTATAGATTTCTTGGCACAGGATTGGTTACCAATGTGGACAATGAGTCCTGGAAGAAAAGGCGTGTCATACTGAACCCAGCCTTTCATCGCAAGTAAGCTGATCTGTGTCTGTCATTGACAAACCACCAGGTTGCTTAGCTTGCTTAGCTGGAGTGGCTTGCTTAGCTTTCTAGTGACTAATCTATTTTTTCCAGGAGCCTTAAAGATCTGATGGACTCTTTCAACTCCACTGCCAATATTTTACTTGAACATCTCGGCACAATGGCTGATGGAAAAACAGAAGTTTGTATGTGCGATCAGTTTGCCCGTGCAGCTTTAGATGTCATTTGCAAGGTAACTTAAAGAGTTAACAAGGATGCATGCTTCTCAAAAAAATAGACACGGCTCTCAGTGTGGTAAAAAGATGATTACCCAGAGGGTACAGTACTGTCTCTGAAAAAAGCCTGATACTCAACTTAGTTCAAAATCCTGATTGAAATCAAATTAGTGTGCAGTTTTTAAAGCTAAAAGATAGGATGGAAATCCCCATTTGTGCAGCCACCGCCACCCCCACATGCTTCCTCATTCCCCCACCTCACCCCCTCCCAGTGAACCTTTAAACTCTATGACCACTCTGTGAGTAGAGACAGTAGCAGCATGTTATTTTTTACAGTTAACTTTACAGATCATTGCAGCTGACTTGCTGACTTTCTTTAACCCTGATGTTGCAAGTGCCTTCAATTATACCACATGTTACAACTAAGCTTATACAGTCTAATCTCCACTAACAGTCAACCTCTCTACAACGGCCACTTAATTATAATTTTTTGTCCCGGAGGACGGTCCATACATTCACCCATATTTTAACCTCTCTACAACGGCCACCTCTTCACAATGGCAACAGCTACTAAAGCGTGTCCCAACTGCCAAAATACACGTAACCTCCCCAAAACGGCAACATGAGTCTCCAAAGCGCGTCCCGACTGCCAAAATGTCTCGACAACAGCCAGTTAATCAACGACTGACGAACGGTGAATACAAAACCGCAGTTTTATTGTAAAAGTGTACAAAAATTGATCCATACCGCTCGTCGTTGGTCTCTGTTTCTGTTTGGTTTTTGTTTTATCGATATATTTTGATTGTGTTACATACAGGTCGCCTTCGGAATGGACATTGACATCATCAATGCCAGAGACACCAAATTTACTGAGGCTGTTTCATTGACTTTTCATGGAGTGGAAGAAGCATCTTTTGACCTGTTTCACAAGGTACTATATGTAACTATCTGTCAATAAAATAGCGGTTGAGGTGTTGCGTATGGTTGTTATACCTAATTGAAAGTTTTTCGTTCGGTTCGGCGGCACATGAGGCTGGTTTGAACTCGCCATGGGAATTTTGGCTCGACTGCAAACTAGGGCCGGTGCCTTGTTCAAAAGCTGGTTATCGCTGCCCCAGGATTAAAAGTTAACCGAAGTATTAATTTTTCTTGCATAAAAATGTTTTTGACTGCTTATGTTTTGTGTATTTTGAGATTAATCAAACTCAAAACTGGAGAACAAACAATATAAACATAAAACCTGAACGAAAAGTTACAAAACTGAAATCAAAATTGTCACAAACGCTGAGTTAGCTTATTCGGGCTTTGAACAACCTGGCTCAAAGCACAACCAAACTGGCCCTAATTGCTACCAAAGTGTTTAGCCATGCAGAAGGCTTTCTCATTACATAAATAGAATTAGTATTCAAAACAAAAAGCAGAAGAAAAAAATCGCGCCCGCCAGTTGGGTAATTTGACCAGCATTTCCTCACAGTGTTCTTGTTCATTTTTATTATTATTATTATTATTATTATTATTATTATTATTATTATTATTATTATTATTATTATTATTATTTTCTATTTATTTATTTATTTTTTATTTATTTTTTTTAATTTTTTTTTTCAGTACAAGGTTAATCAATACCCATTTCAGCGGCGCGTGGTGAAAGCTATCCAGTTCTTGCGTGAAACAGGAAGGAAAGTCATCGAAGTGAGAAAGAATGCAATGAAGAAAGGAGAAGAGGTCCCGGATGATATATTACAGCATATTATTAAGCTACAAGGTTTGTAAGTTGTGTGTGTGGACAATTTTAGCCGCAGTTTCTTTAGAAAGCCGAAGCCGAAGCGGCTCGTGCAATTTCAGTTTTTTAAAAAACTCGTGCAAATTAATTCCAAATTGAACTCGAAACCGTATGACTAACTAATTGACGTCAGTTTTTTTATGCGTCTGTCCTCTTATTGATGATAAATTGCGTCGTAACATTGTCAAAGTGGCTGTGGAGCCACGAGCCGCAGGCGAGTGGTTCCGCAGTAAACTTTGACAATGTTATGACGAAATTTATCATCAATAAGAGGACAGACGCATAAAAAAAATGACGTCAATTTGTTTTTTACAATAACAAGACCCCAGAATGGTCAAATGCCGGGAATATATGAGGGGAAAGGACACCGTAAATTTGCCGTAAACAAAGATAAGTGAATTTTATTCAAAATGACGTGAACATTGTCAATGGCTTTTCTCGGTTTTTGATTGGCTACTTAAAAAAAGTCCATAAAATCTCATTGGTTAAAAAGTTGACAGTTTGATAGCTGAAAGTTGAACTTGAAAACTTGCATAAATTAAAATTTTATCTGTCTGTACTCTTATTGATGATAAAATTACCTATACAAATATGTTTCGCATCACGCGCAGGTTTGAAAATTGGGGAATATTTGAATATTACTCTGTTACTCCCAAATTTAGTCACGTGACGCGTTTAGACCAATTGCGTGCGAGCAAAAATATTTGCTGGATTATAATCACCGTTTTTGACAATTCTTATTCACATTCACAGATCAAAATCCTGATTTTGGGATGGAAGACGTGCTGGATGACTTTGTTACGTTCTTTATAGCTGGTACGAACCACGTTTATATTCTCTTCAAGTCTAAAATAAATACAGTTAAATTCTACAATGTAATTAGCGTGCTCTGTGGTAATACACACCTTTTGGTGTTCATTTACAGAAAATATCCATTCATTTGAGTCCAAATTTGGCTGTAATGTTTGTTTCACCGCACTTAAGATTGTCACCTTCACAAATATGGTTGTATAATAATGCAGTTGATTGTGAGTGCTCATGCAAATCGTGTTATTGAAAGTCTCTTGTTGAAAAAGGATTGTCAAAAAGTGTAAATGATTGTCGTTTCGTGACAACGAATTTTATCTCGACAAAAATGAAAATACATTTACAGCCAATGAATGTCAAAGGAAGATATTGTTTATCTTTTGATGATTTTGAATGTCAATACCTATGCAAATGTTATTCTTGAACGTTTCTTACGCGAAAATGAATGTCAAATTGGTGATAATGAGAGTATATTAACGATAATGAAAAAAAAACTGGACACAAATGAATGGATATTTTCTGTAAATGAACAGCAAAAGGTGTATTAGTCCCGAGATGGGAGACTCGCAAGTAGTCTGCAGTCCATGATAGTTTTTTTTTTTCCTTTTCAAGTGCTCTTTACTTCTATTTCAGGTCACGAGACTACAGCCACTTTGTTGTCGTTTTGTGTTCTTGAGCTTGGAGATCATCCTGAGATATTGGAGAGGTTGGTAGTTCCATAGGGAAAGAAAGACCGATAAACCATAGGCTTAAGATATGATTGTAGATGTAGTCTGACATAAGGCGTTTCTTTTTGGTGTTGTTGTTTTACTGTTTTAATTTCCGATCCAAGGTTTTCGCATGTTTTCGTCTTAGAAATTTTAACGCGAAATTAAAGGTTACGCATTGAAGTGGTCACCTTTGATAAGATTCCTTTTTGTTTTGGGATGAGGCACCAAGCTTAACCTTGTAGTCAGAGCTGGTAGTTAGGATAAATAGATAGAGCTGAGGGTTACAGCATTGTTCCCAGTGGACTACGAGCATCCCCAAGTGTAGAATATCCCCTCCAAATCCCCCGACCTTTTATCCCTTCGATGTCTGGTCCTCATGTGAGTGGTGAACGTAAACACAAGCAAATATTGAAGAAAAGACGCTTATCAGTGATTAGTCTAAAAACGACTCGCGCCATTTTCTCAACCAATCAGAAGTAAAACCAAAACCAATCGTGACTCGCTCGCACGCACACGTTTTCCCGCGCTTTGCGTCAGCTTCATGTATTCACGTCGAGCTTTGATTGGTTCACTACATTGTCTGTGTCCTTTATGATTGGCCAGAATACCTACTGGTTGTACGAAACTCAATTGAAAACTACTCTAAGGTTAAGCACAAGCATGATTACAGGAAAAGAAAAGTATAGAAACCTGTTCTTGTGCTTCTTGTGCTTATGCTTCTGTTGCAGTTAGTCCTCGTGGGAACAATAATAAGAACAGTTAGTTTGCTTGGTCCTGATACTTGTGCTATTGTCACAACTGATTTCACCATTTTGCATCATTTACAAATCGTTCTTTTCTCTTACAGTTTGGTTGGAGAGGTGTTTGACGTGCTGGGAGATAAACAGAATGTTGCGTTCGACGACCTGGCTAAACTGCACCAGCTAGGACTGGTAACGTGTCTTTAAACGTTTCCTTTAGAAAAAAATAAGTACAAGTGAAGAGGTATTAAATGTCGAGGAACCCTATAGCTCTTGGTGAGATCAATTCTTCTCGGGCGAGGACGTTTGAGGTTCGACTCGGAAAAAAAAATGAACAATTTGTTATTCTCGGTAAGTGACTTGCCACAAGTGCTAATGGCGCCATGCATTTAAGGACAAGAAACAAATATTTTAAATTTACCACAACAAGTTTAAAAACTCGTAGTTCCGCTGGTCCTGATTGGTTGGTACTTGCGCGGGTCGATTTAAAACCCAGCAAGAACGTTTATTAATCAGAAATGCTATCAACCTCGATCCCAGGCTCTCTCTCTTTTGCCTCGAGGTAACGAAGAGAGAGCCTGGAATCGAGGTTGAGACGCTATGTGGATCCCTAATAGGGGATTCATGCTGACGTCATTGTTTACATTTTTGCTCATTTGCATAAGGCTTTGCGTACAGAAGGAAACATGTTAGATATGAATTGACTCCAGGCAGCTAAAGAGTTTCTGAAACTTAATACATGGTGAAATTTTTAGCTCTTTGGGTGTAGTATTCAAGGTCTATTAGCGCCCTTTATACGAGAAAAATAACCCGCGGATTAAATAAGACGCGAACTTGCCGTATAAACGGTACATTTTAGCCAGTTCACGTCTTATACAAGCCGCAGTTTGTGTAAAACGGGGGTTCGCGAACTCACACTGCGCAAGCGCAAGTTTTGCCCGCGCTCGCGCAATTCCGCGACTGCTATGACAACCAACACAAAAGCGAGGCATTAGTCACGAATAAGCCGTGAACCATTTATACGAGCACTTCGCGTCTTTTATAAGCCGCGCTCGTATAAATGGTTCAGTTCGCGCTTACGTAAGCCGCGGGCTTGTGTAATCCGCGGCTTGTTTTTCTCGTATAAATGGCCCTTTTGTCTTTCAAAAACTGCAAAATGTCTGGGTGGCAAAAGGGCTAATGAGCTCATTCATTCTCTTTAAAATTTTGAGGTTTTAAACCCGTGTTGCTCAAAAAGTATTCAATACATCAAGCTCATATTCGTTGGCAGGTTTAATCGTACTATGACCTTTCAATATTCAGAACTGGTTTATTTGTAGCTCCATCAGAGACTGAATTACTTATGCTAATGAGGCAAATATTGTAAACAAGGATTCCCCCATAGATTGACGTTATCAGAATGGATTTTTTTTCGCTCGATTCTCAGCCTGATTCTAAGTAAGCGCTCGAAATGAGAGACGTCACTTAAAAAAAAACCCAACCGCAATAAGGTCAATGTTATTACGTTCCAAAATCGACTTGTACCAGTTTCTGCCGACGAAGAGAGGTAACTAGTTCTTACATTTGTTATTCAGGTGATAAAGGAGACTTTACGTCGTCATCCTCCTGCCACCGGCCTTTTACGAAAGATAACAAAGGATCAAGAAATTGGAGGATACAAAATGCCCGCTGACGTCGCCATTTTGGTACAGTGTTTTGTTTATGAGTAAAGTAAACCTTTATTTTTTTTTCGTGCTGTTGTCTTACCAACTCGTGCTCTGTAGTTAGCTTTGTGTCTGCCACACCGGTTATCTCCAAGCTGATTATTTTCTTCACACGTCACTGGCTTGTCTTAATTTGAATTTTCGTTGCAGACTAGCACTTATGTCTCCAGCCACTTTCCCGAGTATTGGACCAACCCAGAGGAGTTTGATCCCTACAGGTTCGATGACGAAGAACTAGTCAAGAGGTATTTAACAAAGAAAAACCTTTAATTGAAGTCAGTGTCAGTCAGTATGGCTGGCAGACCCATATTAGTGTCCGTTTTGTTTATTGTGGTTGTCAACAGGAAACGGTCATTCCCCCATCAACTCAGAGGCCGTTAAAGCTCTGAATAACACTTGAATTGTACCGTACATGAAACTACCAAACCTTATGCGCAAGGATCAAAAACGCCCTCGTTCAGTTGTTATAGGTGTTTCATAATAGTGCTTTAATAAAAATGCCTAATCCAACGCATCCTGCCTTTAAGAGGGCCCAGGGTTACTGTTTCTATTTCTGTCACTTTATACCACCCTACCTCCTATAAACAGAGTATTACCCAAAGTTAATATTTAGCATAGTTAGTTCAGGCCCCGTGCACGCTACGCCGGACTGAGGAATTTGAAACGGAGGTTTCAACCTGAAAACTTATCAGGTGTTTTCCGTCCACACTACGCCGGAGGAATTTGAAAACGCAACAACCGTGTTTGAGGAAAACTTGGTCAGTCTCTCATGACAATCATCATGACGACATAGTTTTCGAAAAAGCTCCGTTTTCAAAATGTTTTCCGTCTATACGAAAACGAAAAGCCGGTGTTTTCAAATTCCTTTGGTTTGAAGAGCGTTTTCGAGAAGATCTGTTTTCGGTCCGAGTTAATGTGACCTAATGTGGACGGTAGGCTTAACCGTAGAAAGAAAGCTACGTTTTCAAATTTATTCGGCGAAGTATGACGCTGCCTTAGACCTCGTGTGCCGGTGAGCAAGAGCTGATACAAAAGACTAAACAATACAATACAGCTAACCGATGACTCCTAACCAAAAAAAAATGCAATGGTCACTCCCTGGTGTGTTTCGGAAGACGAAGACACAGTCAGTAAGCCCCAGGCTCGCGGTACGTGACTATTAAGCGTTCTTGGTGTTGCATTGCAGGCGGGTGGGACTCCGATACGAAAGGAAAGAGGGGTGCTCGCCCTAAAATTTGGAAACCCGAACGGAGTGGGCGTGGCTCAAGTTTGTTAGACCTCTAAAAGATACCAGACACACAACCTCGTTCCCAGGATCTCGACCCTGGGAACGACACATACTAAGAGCTCAATAGCACTGCTATCGAAGTATTTAATCTTGTAAAGAGGTGTTTAAGTTTTAGACGGATTTCCTAGTAGCCAATTCTTAGGGAGGACTCGTTTCAAACCATGTACTGTTTATCGTTTCAGATCTCATTATAACTATTTTCCGTTTTCTCTTGGACCACGTAACTGCATTGGACAGCACTTCGCGCAGGTAATATGAATTCCACGTTCCAGAGACTTCAGGAAAGCAACAAAATGCGCTAGGATGGGAACAGAGAATTCATTTGTTGCGGGGTGGGGGGAGGGGTAATGTAAATATTCGCACTAGCGTCCTTTTTCTCAAGTCTCTTGTCTCTGTGGTTTAAAAAGAAAAGTTAATTTTACTTCATTCTTGATCATTTAATCGGTTATTATTTTCTGTTGTTTCTTTCCAATAGATCGAGGCCAAGGTTTTATTGTCACGCTTTCTCCAGACGTTCAAGTTTTCTCTCGTGCCTGGTCAGTCACGCAAGATTCTTGAAAGAACCACGCTACGCCCTAAGGATGGCGTGATCTGTACCCTGACTAAACGGCAGTAGAAACATCACGGACAATGTCTGATTGAACCCCTGGGAGGGGGGCGGGGGGAACTCTCAGAAAAGTTGGGTGAGGGGTGTACGGCACACTTCCCAAAACCCTTACCCTATTAATATTTATGACCAAAATCTGCGATTTTTGCTCCCCTATTTATGACGTGACGAAAACTCCAATACCCAATTTATGATCGTTGCGGCTGGCACAGTTGCCCTAAACATAAGTTATAACATAAATTATGAAGGGCTTTTGTAGATGGCCTTATTGATAATGATGAAAAAAGTAGCTTCTTCTAAGAATCATAGCCAATTCAAGACTAGAATGCAAAAACCATGCTCTATTTACGACTAGAAATGGCCAAAATCGATACCCTATTTATGACCAAAACGGCTGGAAAACCCTACCCTTTGGGGCCGCACATACCTATATAGCCCACATAAAGGAGTACCCCTCCCCCGGATTAAACTTTCTTTATGGAGCAAGCAATAAAGTAGTCATGGAACCAACCAATGATTCACTGAAAGCAGATATAAGTATTTAGTGATACTACAAATTTTCCTTACTGTTACATGTAAGGTCACGTACGGGTATTGCTTGTTCTATGAGTTGAGAAAATAGTCTACCCACATACACTATTTTCCGGCCGCCATATTGTTGTACCACAGAGGAACGAATATCTCAACTTTGGGACAACGCACACTCCTTAAACTTGGAGATCTGTCTTCTTTATTTATCTGCTATAACAATTTCACAATTTCTTGACTTTATCCACTGAAGGTTTTTTGATTTTATTTTTTATTGCGTGACCGTGAAAACGCTCTATACTCCTTAGGGAGCGTTGCGTTACAATCCAAATAACGTCAGCGAAGGGTGTGAAAGATGTACATAAATATACAGATTATGTGGCATTCTCTGAAAGCCTCGTATCTATGGATATTAAATATCTTACCATTTAGCCTTTCTTGTTTACAAGGATTTTATTTTATTTTTCTCCACCAACATTAGCAAATTTGTAGCCCTTCTCAAAACTTTTATACGCAAATGGAAGCCATTTCTGTTTAGCTGAGGTCATATAGGAGCCGTGTAGTAATCTTAAAGATATGAAATGGGGTACTGATTTTGAATTGGAGTACCCCCTGGGACTAAACCAATGTCTATAAAATAATCTTTTTAACGCGAAACTTTGCGTTTCCCTCCAGTTATAGGAATCTCTTCAGAGTATTAAAACAACGATCGACAAGTTATAAACATTCCAAAGTAGTATTACTCACGAGATTGGAAGTAAATGATAACAACAAGAACATTGTGTCAAAACTAGATATGTAATAGTTTCGTGCTTGTAGTTTCATTGTAGTTATTATTATAATAAAAACTATATACCGAGAACAACAAGACTTTAAATCAGTATAAATAATCGCGCGCAGCTAGAAATGATGATTTGATCAAACAAAGACAACATGGCCCTCTTAGATGCAAGTTTCCGCAGAGAGTTTTAATTTGTTCAGCCTTACACCGAGATGAAGTCTAGGAAGATATTTTGGGAACATGGTCTGATTGTTTCTTAGAATAACCATTTTCGTGTTTGGATCATTGTAACAAAGCAAACACTCCTTTTTGGAGGGAGATATAAAGTAATTAGGAGCTACTTTTTCGTTTTGTTTTAATGTGACCTCTGTTATAGATGTTTTTTGCTGCCAAATTTAAGACTGCCATACCCACCTTTGTCCTGTCCTTTTGTGTTTTGTGTTTTGTGTTTTGTGTTTTGTGTTTTGTGTTTTGTGTTTTTTTTTTCCTCTGTAGGGAGTTCAATTCATCCCCAATCGGACATTGTCATCTTTCATATTCATATCCGAGTTATCCGCAGTATGGTAGCTTATGGTAGTGGGGCGGGCTCTCTACATGTTAGACTGTTCTATGCACGCAAAAGAAAAAGAGAGCGAAGCACGCGGGGGTGGGGGTGGGGTTTGCGAGCGAAGCGAGCAAGAAGAATCAGTCCCCACCCTTACCAAGTCAAGTCTTCCAGAAAATAGAGGGCCGTGAACAGTCTATCACATGCCGGATGGCCGGACATGAAGAGAGCATCAGATTTACTCTGCTCAGTTTTGGGAGAGCCATGGAGGCTGCTCGTTGTCAACATCCGTGATCTAAGAATTGCTTTAGACTGGTCTCCCAATAGTAAAATATTTTGTTTCCCCGGGCCCGCCGATGGGAGATCGCGTGATTAAATGCCGTGACGTATAACGTGACGCACGAATGAAACGTAATTCCATTTCGTTCCCAGATTCTCCGCGGTTGAATTAATTTCACCTTTCACCGGACCCTGTTGCCCTCTTAGTCTTGCACGCAAAATGTTTTACCTAATTTTGTACGTAGCAGGTACCTTGGTTGTGCTATCGTTACTCGTGGTATGTATTTTTGCGGTATACTTGGCTCATAAAAGACGTAAATTTGCCCACATCCCAAGTCCACCGATGTCAAGGTAATTAATAGTTTACGATGTAGCATGTAAGAATTACATCAGTTGTCCGCTTGATTTGCTCTCAAACTTTCCGTGCACACTTGATGGGATCACATATTCTGCATTGCTTTAAGGTTACTTATCAGTCAAAACCCTTTCCCTTGATGTAAATGGTACTACAGTAATTTCTGTTAAACCATTATTCGAACAGCAATCATTGATTCTTTGGTATATTGTGCATATTAATGAGCAGATCAGTTACGTTGTTTTCATTGTTATTGTAGTTGTTTTTCTGTCGTTTTTTTTTCTTTTTTTTTTTTCTTTTTTTTTTTCAATAGCAGCCTGGTTATTATTTGCATGTACTTAGAGTCTCTTAGTGATTCTTAAGAATACAGACCGCCTGGATTGAGGGGCCAGTGTCTTTCTCCAATCATCACAGATAATTTTGCAAATGGGGGTGAGGGTTATAGTAGGAGGAGAAAATTTTACCCTTTGCTTTTTCTTGTGTTTCCTCTGAAACGCCTCACCTTTATCTCTTCCATGTCTCACCTTACGTACTCACCTTACACATTATCCCTTACCATTCCCCCATCATCTCAAACCCCCATACCCCACCCCTTCCCCGACATCCTTCCCCCCAGCTTTCTCCTTGTATTTTTTGTTTTCCATATCGAACAAATTTGAAACTGCAACATATACTGACAGGGATCTTGAATAATATTTTCTTTTTGTTTTTCCTTTATGAATATTGTAGTTTCTTTATGGGCCATGTGAATGAAATAGTCTCATATCGTCGTACTGGGAAGCATAGTCATCACAAATTTCTTGAATGGTGGGTCAATTTTAATAATAAAATTATAAATAAATAAAAACTGATTATTAAAGTACTGAACCATGGGTAACTAATTAATGTCAGTTGTGAAAACTGCTAACAAAGTAGGCCCTGTGTCGATAAAATAAATACATAGATATTGAATACATACATACATAAATAAATTGATAAATTAATAAATAAATAAAAGAAACCTTTTATAGATTGAGCAAAAAACTAAAAATAAAAAGTTAAAATAGTAAACAGAAATGGCTTTAAAAAAGCCAAGTATATGTAGTTGAACAGCTAAAAGTATTTGTTAAAAGTCACAGATCCTTAACTTATTAATAATACTAACAGAATGCTAATTTTGTAGGATCTAACCTTACCCTATTACTGCAGATATAACATTTAGCTATTTCTCTTCAATCTAGACAAGAAATCAAGAAACTGAGGGTCATAACTTTAAGAACCTTAAGGAAAGAACAGTAACTATTTTGAAACCATAAAATTATTAATAAAATTGATTTTTTTTTTTTAACTCGCGGGGTCAGGGGGGTCATAGAAATTGTTAATCTTCAAACAGGAGATGGTCTGACTATTCGGACTAGCCAAGAAGAAGTTAATTAAAAGTTATTGTTAAATTATCATTTTTCGAATGCTGGGTAAACTTTTCCTTGAACAGAAATTTATTAATTGAGCAGTCTATTATAAAATTTAAATAATGTGTTTATGCAATGACTGTTGTTTTTTTACAGGCATTTGGAATATGGCAAGGTGGTGCTTATTTGGTTAGCTCATATGCCATTTGTTTTAGTTGGTGATCCAGAAGCCGTTAAGGTATGCAGAACGTACCTTCAGAAGAAAAATATACAGCCGGTCTTAATTGGGCATCAGTCTAACGCCAGTAGATGAAATATTTTGACTCAGAATGGGTAATTCCAGAAAATATCCATACCCTACCACAGACAGCATGAGCATTTTAAACCCCCTTGCAGGGCTACAAATAATAAAAGGACACCATCTTGGTCAGACAAAACAAATTGTGGTTGGACATCATCGAAAAAAGTAAGATTTACTCATGGTAGATTTTTATTCGTCCTTCAATTCCCACAAAAGGATTTACGATGAAAAATTATCCACTGCAGACATTATGTCCCAGCACAGTTGGGATTTCATCAGACATGAGCAAAATGCACACCTAATTTCTTTCTTCAAAAATAGTTGATACAAAATACCAGAGAAAAACTTACAATTTACTTGTCTGTTTCGCCTTACTCCTTCTGTGAAATCCAGTTACTACCGGACAGCATGATAAAAACTGGCAAACGCAGCACTTGAAGCTACTTGACAAAATGGTGCCGGAAAACTAAAGTGATCGCAAGGGAGTCACAGTGGCCTCGTGGTTAGTGTGCTCGTTCCCGGAGCAAGCAGTTCACATTTGAGCCATGGCCGGGGACACGGTGTTGTGTTCTAGGGCAAGACACTTAACTCTCACAGTGCCTCTCTCCACCCAGGAGTTATAAATGGGTACCAGCAGAAAACCTAACAAATTGTGGGGGAGTGACCTGCGATGGACCAGCATCCCGTCCAGCTGCAGGGAGAGTAGAAATACTCCTAGCCACTTCATGCTACAGAAACCAGGATAAGCTCCGGCAGCTACAAGCCATCGGCTCCAAGGCTTCACTTTGTGTTGACACGACAGTCACTTGTTTTGTCTTTTGTAGTGAAATATTTTTCGCATAGTTTTGCATAAGCGATCTTTGTTTCTTTCACAGCTAGCATTGATTGAAACTAAGAACATTTTTACACTTTTTCACAATACTAATTTCTCCTATTGTCTTGAACAGACTGAGAGGGAGAATGGGAAATCTGGTTTGAAAGTCAAAGGGAACCGAAAACAGCAGCAAAGCTTTATGGGTGCACAAAGCATCTTGGGTTCCCCACTTTTTTCGGCCGAAGTGTTTCAATTGGTGCAATTCCGTTATGCGCTCACTCACCCACCTGATTGCTAACACCCGCCTGATCGATTTTTATCCTGCTTCCACGATCGGTTCCTGCTTAATTCACAAACTGGAAAAGATATCAGATCACAGATTTCAAGTGAACTGCTTTCGCGGTCTTCCCCCCTCTGGAGTTCAGAGCTGAAACACATCCCCCCCCCCCATGGGTTTGATTCGGTCCAAGAACCCCCCTCTCCCTTAGAATTCCAAGATGCCATGCGTGCTATTGGTATGGATATTTTCTGGAATCACCCAATCTCACCCATGTGGACTAATTTCTCATGCACAAAATGACTAATTCACTGTTGTTTCCTTTTATTTCAAAGGATGCTCTTGTAGTAAAGAATCTTCCAAAGCATCCATTATCCTATGCAAATCTTTGTTATCTGTATGGACAAAGGTACTTCAGTTTGCCTTTAGTTAGTTTTAAAGGTATAATTTTGTTTGCACAAGTTTGTTTCCCAAGTTTCTGTACTGTTCAGACATATTAATGAATTATTTCACTGAAAAGTATCTTTGGCACCAGAACATACAGAACAGCCCCACCAATATTTTTGTAGTTTATGTATGGGAATTGATCAGTTACATGGCAGTTACATACATGGCAAGTTGTTGACTTACAACTGTATTAGTTCTAATGATTTATTAATTAATTCAGCAGCGATTAAAGTAAGAGATAAATTTCTAGTTTAATGTTTTTAACAAAACAAGAGAATGTTCTAGGGAAATTCATATTTAAACAATTTTTCCCAGCGACAGTTTTAGAAAAGCCAAACTAGGTTGTTTGTCTGTTTTTAATGCTTGAAATGGTGGGTGATTGACAACTTGAAGTTAGAAAAGGTAAGTGTCAGAGGGACTTCCATTTAAAAGTGAAAATGAATTTGAAAATCAAAATCCGAGGCCTTGTTAATTGAAAGTCCATGAAAAGTACATTCATTTGGGCCTTGAAAAACCTCTACATTAATTTTTTATTGTTTTGCACTGTTTGGGTAATAAGGCTAAAAAGCTGCCCATGTGCAGCTCATACAAAAAGGAAAAGATCTTAGCTCTTCGCGAATATCCTTCCAGCAGTTTCAGAAAAAATGCATGTGGTGCCACATTCAACAGGTATTTTTCAAGTGGAATGAGTCCTTGAAAAATTGGAATTATGTTATGGAATGTCCTTGAAGTGAAATTTAAGGCCAAAAAGAGTAACTATAAACCCTGTTATCAAATAATTTACCACATATAATTCACTACTACTGAGGTATTTTTTCTATGTATTTAATTACTGTATATTCAAGGTAAGACTCTGACAGATATCTTAACATAATGTACTATAAAATCTATACTCTAGGCAGCTTATGCAATGGATTATTCCATTACAATAATGTGTTGTGTTGTAGATTTCTTGGTGATGGATTGGTCACCAACATGGATAATGAGGGTTGGATAAAAAGACGAGGAGTATTGAACCCAGCTTTCCATCGCAAGTAAGCATTCAATTGGCAAAGACAATCTGAGACATATTTGCCATTAATTATACCCTCTGAAAGGGGTAACATGAAAACACTAACCCCTGAGTCCACAGATGCCGGCCCACTATGGACCAGTGAAATGAATATAATTATATAATAAATATACCTATTTTTAATAATTATACTAATAATGATTCTACCAAATCATAACATATATGTGGGTTCCCATGGGATGTGCATGTAGCGCCGTGGCTCAGGGCACAGATCATTTGCTGTTGGTGAAGAGCTCTTGACCTTTTTCATTTCAAAAAATGCCTTGCACCCAAGCCTATTAGTTTGCTTAATTTTCAAAGTGTATCACTTGAAATTTTGCCGACCTGCTTCGTCTACCCAGGCAACAAAATTAATACAGTTTAATTCAAATCTATTATTTTCATTTTATTTTTAGGGTGGTCTTAAAGGGGGGTGGGGTGGGTGGGGAGGTCTGTAGGGGTAGTATGTGGACTGGTCTGCAGGGTAGTCTGTGGACCTGATCTTTAGTACTTAGGGGTGACCACCCTCTGGGAGTAACTGTTTTTGGATTACCCATCTGGAAGTTATTTTCAAGCAACAAACCATCTGCTTTCAAAATTCAACAACCTCGTGATCAGCTGATAATCTTGCTAATGGTTTCAGCTGCAAACTGTGACTCGCAGGATGAAATATTTAAACTTACAATAGTTTTCAAGATATCACGTTATGGTAATCTATTAACTGCTCTGCCAAAGTAGATAAATATTGAGATGATGGCATTTGCTGTATAAAGATTGACCTAATAATACCTTGATATTTTAGTACAGTAACTCAGAAAGTATAATACAGTGGAACCCCGTTAATATGGACACCAGAGGGACATGATAAAGTGTCCGCATTATCCGGGTGTCCGTATTAAGCGGGCTAATTTAAGAGAAAATATATGAGCTTTTTAGTTGTCGGGACAAAGAAAACTGTCTGTTAGAAGCAGGTGTCTGTATTAAGCGGGTGTCCATAGAGCGGGGTTTCACTGTACTAGATATCATTAGTTGCCTAATAAGTATTAATTAATAGTTATTTTTTCAAGTATGAAAAACTATGGGCCTTTAGTGAAGGCCAATAGTTTTTCAAAGATTGCATTCCAGAATATATAAACAGCTTGTTTTGTATGTTATATTTAGCATTTATCCACTGAATAGTGATTTATTTCATTAGCCTGACAGATATTTTTTAATACATGTACATCCTTTGGACAACTGGTACCTTTTTTTTAACGGATGTGTTTTCACTTGTTGTGTGTTGTTTGGTAATGGCATTTTGAGCCTCTCAATAACACAGTTGTTTCTCCACAGTAGTTGATGAGCATTATGGCTACATGTCAGTAATTTATTGTAAATATTCATGTCCTGTTCTTGTACTTAGGCAAGCTGGAAATTCAAGGCTGCTATTTTTAAAATTAAGTTGACAAAGCACCCCTTCTAGAGGTTTAGCACTAAAAAATATAGCCTTGTTTGAAATCAGGAGCCTTAAAGAGCTGATGAGTTCTTTCAACTCCACTGCCAATCTTTTACTTGAACATCTTGGAACAATGGCTGATGGTAAAACAGAAGTTTGTATGATTGACCAGTTTGCCCATGCAGCACTAGACGTTATTTGCAAGGTAAGGTCTAAATAGCTAAGAATCAAAGACAGTAATATAAGATTTTTTTCCGATGCTACTGATACACCAGGCAATATGAAATGTTTGTCATGTGATATATAGTAAGGTCCTTGTGGCCTTTCTCATCTCACAGGTTGCCTTTGGAATGGACATGAACATTATTGGTGCAAAGGACAATAAATTTACTGAGGCAGTTGAACTGAGTTTTCTTGGATGCGATGTGGCAAACTTTGAACGACCATTTCACAAGGTATTACAACAAGCATAGCAATCAAAGTCTTAATAGTGACTATTGACTCTGTGGTTTTAAGGAAAATCCATACCCCATGGTGGTCCAATCACCTCACCCTAACCCCTCTGGAAATTCCATTTTATCTTCTTACTTTCCTTTAAAATTGGCTTTTGAAATCTCTTTCCTCCCTCAGATTTTAAACATTCCTCAGGGTGGATATGGGTATTTGTATTTCTTTCTCCTCCCTTGACAGGAGATACTAGTCCATTGCATCCCCTTCACTTCCCTACATTTGAATTCTCCATTTATACCCTTGGGCTAAGAGAGGCAATGTCAGAGTGAAGTGTCTTGTCAATTCAATGACACCAGGCCGGCTTTTTTACAACGTTACTGAGTGTTAACAGTTTCCATGCATTTTTTTTTTCTTTCATGTTTCAGTGGAATGTTTTCCAGTACCCTTTTCAGCGGCGTGTTATCAAGGCAGTCCAGTTCTTGCGTGAAACAGGAAGGAAAGTAATTGAAGTGAGAAAGAATGCAATAAACAAAGGAGAAGAGGTCCCCGATGATATATTACAGCATATTATTCAGCAACAAGGTTTGCTACCTTTTACCTGTTGCTTATCTCTTTTGTGACCAGGTGTCACATAGGGTCTTTACAGAGCGCTCCATACTTCCGCGTATGATCAGCCGCTCGTCGTACCTCGGTTCAAGATTTCCAGTCCGCTTTGTTAAAACTTTTCTCCAGAGTTCTTTGGTCATTCTCTTCTTCTTCTCCCCTCGGGTGCCCAGATCAATGTCACGTTACAGTCATTTGTGTGGTCCAGTCCAGGGCCGTAGTATATGGCCAATCAGCTTTCATCTAATTCTCCGCTTCATTTCTTTATCCAGTGGTTTTTTTTCAGCTCAGTCTTTCCAAAAGCTCTTCGGTGCTGACATGTCACAGTTTATGTGACTTAATTGCATTGATAGCTCCATAATTCCAGTACTTGATGTGTCTTCGTACGGGAATCTCTCAGTGAAAGCTAAAGGAAACTCTAAATGCTTCAAAATATGGAACAAGTGGACTTTTTCTTGAAATAAACCGTCGATAACTGGAGCAACGATTTCAAAAAAAGCCCGACATCCACTGAACTGATTTGAGTAGTGAATAACAATCACTAGTAAATATCCATACCGGCTGATAGTTGGAAAATCGTGAGTTTCCTAAGAGTGTAGCTTTGTTTTGTTTTATTTTGTTTTTTCTTGTTCAATTATCGAAACAATTTTTTTCTACAGAGGTAGATCCAAACCTTGGAATGGAGGACATGTTGGATGATTTTCTGTCTTTCTTTATTGGTGGTAAGACACTATCGATGTAACTGTAGTTCAATCAGCTAATTATATAATTTGGCTTTCTTTTCGCCCTTTACAATAGTCACGTGTTTTTACGTTTCCCACACTTTTTTAATGATCAGGGTCGACCAGGAGGCCGAATTCGGTTCAGCTTTTCCGGCGCTTTACACCAGCGTCTATGGTTGACCGTTCGGATTTCACCAGCGTCTATTGTTGGGCCTTTCTCGCGCTTTACACCAGAGTTTATGGTTGAGCTTTTCCCGCGCTTTACACCAGCGCCTATGGTTGGACTTTTCCCGCGCTGTTCACCAGCGTCTATGGTTGGGCTTTTCCCGCCCTTTGCTTATTTCTTTAGAACACCGATTTTTGCTTTTCCTTTCGTTATACACTAGTTACTAAATGGTTTCGTTTTTCCCCACACTCTACATTAGCTCTCATTTGTCATTTCAGGACACGAGACTACAGCCAGTTTGTTGTCGTTTTGTGTTCTTGAGCTAGGAGACCATCCTGAGATATTGGAGAGGTGACATTGCTTAGACAAACATTATTCGTGTTCCTAAAAGAAATGTCTTTCTCGCACTCGGAGGTACTGTATTCTTCGCAAAAAGTCGCCCATTCTATTTTTTTATATTTGTATTTGACTGCTTGCTTAAACAGTCCTTAAATCCACAAATTTATGAATAAATAAATGAAATGTGAAAGCCTCAGAGATATTTTTGTTCTGTACTATGACTTTGTGGCTGTGGAGAAGTAGAATGCAGACTGTATTGAAGTACAAAAATAATTCTCTTTCATTTATTGCTTCTTTTGTAGTGTGCTTGAAGAGGTGTTTGATGTGCTGGGAGATAAACAGAATGTTGCGTTTGACGACCTGGCTAAACTGCACCAGCTAGGACTGGTAAGGTGTTTTTTTTAGTGTTTTCATTTACAGGAAAATAAATATTTTCAACGTCCTTTCCTTTCCGTTCCTTTCCTTTC